ATCTTTGGTCACATCGTCCTTCTCTTCCGTCGGGGCGTGGGCGCAAATCAGCGATATGTTGAAGAACCTCGCTTTGATGCGGATTGTGGCTAGACGCTCATTCACCGGGGTGCCGGGTTTAGGTACCGAATATGTGGACCCCAGTACCTTTAGTTGACTTTTGATTGAAAATATCAATGTGTGAATTTGTATTGCAAATATCGCCCAATATGTGAGTTCTCCCAATAAAAATAAAGGAGAGTGTTTTGTTATAAGAGTTATTTATAAGAGTGTATCGTTATCGTTTAAAGGTGACTAAAGTACATGCATTTCAGCGAAAACTTTGCTTAGCTACTGAATAACTACAAAGTGCGTTCCAAAATAAACAGGATTTTAAAAAAATATAACAAACTTGTTTTCGGCCAAATTAATTTATTTTATTCAAAATGGTCTCCTTCTGCTTCAATTCATCTTTTTGCGTGGTCCAAAAGCATGTCAAACGAGTGTTTTTGCTCGTTGGCCGGTATGGTCGCCAGTATGTCGGTGCAAACCTTTTGAATGGCCTCTACGTCAGCATAACTCTTTCCTTTCATGGGAAATGCATTTTTCCGTAAAGGAAGATGTCGCACGGTGCCATATCAGGTGAATACGGGCAGTSATTAATGGTTAAACTGTGATTTTTGGTGAAATAATTGTCTTTTGAATGTTGGATTCTGAGTAATATTTGGTCGTTGGTCGATTTGTGCGGAACAAACAGTGCACATACCTTTCGTAAGCYCAAATTTTCGTTAAAAATGCCATAAGTCGGTTTTTTGGAGATGTCCAATTCCATTTCCATGAATTTAAATGATAAGGTTTGATGAATTCACGCACAGTTTCGATGGAATTTCCAGTGATCATGGATTTTGATTGGCCCACATGTTGATCGTMGTTTATGTCCTCCCGACCACTTTGCAAACGTTGAAAACACTCGTGCACTCTGCTACAAGATAGGCAATCATCGCTATAAACTTGTATCATTAATTGAAACGTTTCGGTAAAAGTTTCACCAATTAAAAAAAAAATGTAATGTTGGCTCTTTTTTCGAAACCCATTTTCGCGCCGATAATACAAACATACTGACATTTAAAACGAAATAACTTCATTTCCAATCTATGAAATGTCATGAAATCTCACTGGACCATCGATAACGAAAGCAGATTCTAACGCACCAGTCGACGCTTAGATGTCTACAATAGATTCAAAAAGTCCTGTTTACTTTGGAGCGCACCTCATCCTAATCATGTTCATATATAGTACTGTGATCAAATTGAAAGGTAAATTTTTAATTTATACTTCGCGTGTTTTTTGTTTAAAAGTAAATTTTTCTATTTCTAATGTCTGAATTTATTGAACAAAGGAGTGCGATAACTAATATCGTGCCGCAACCACCGCATTCGTCTGATTAACCATCGTAGCCATCTGGGGCGTAAAATTTAGGGTCTGTGGCTTATTTATTGATTTATCGCTAAGTTTGTAGCACACTGTAGGTTATCGTTTAAAGGCGCATTGTGTGCGTTGAAGCAGACCGACTACGCTCATTTTCATCCTTACCATTTTACCAGGGAACATACTTTGTGATCAAATTGAAAGGTGAATTTTGTCCATTTTATTTCCTTCAAAGTAATCCCCTCTCGCGGCAAAATATTTAATCCAACGAAATTTCCAGCTATCATTGCACTTGGAAAAATTATCAGAGCCTTTTTCGATTCAGCTTTTTTTTTCCTCAATTGAGCCAAAATTATGTCTTCGGAGTGGTCATGTGAACTTCTGAATCCAAACATAGTAAAAATCTCAGAATTCACTTTTAGAGCCTCACAAAACGACGCGTTCCTCAACTTATAATGAATACTTTGACGTGACATTTAGCATAGATGTCTTAATCAGTACTAGAAACTTATGGAAAAAAGTTTACCTATTCGAAAAACACGCGAAGTATAAATTAAAAATTCACCTTTCAATGTGATGACAGTAGGTAAAGTGTCATTGCGATATCTCAAGTTTTACTCCAGTTACAGTCGTCTTATCATCCTGATCATTTATATATAGATAATCCTATATCTATCTCAACCAGTTTTAGGTGATACAAGCAAAACAAAAAACACAAAACTATTAAGTATTTTCTGTAGCAACATGTTGCAAAATGGCAGTATTTATAGTATATTGATACAATTTCGAATTGCAGTTATCAGTGCATATGGATACATATTTCGGGTTTCTTCCATTTACAGGGCTGTGAAATTTACATCGAAATTATTTGGTCGCGCTTTGTCAAAACGTATTAAGGCGACTGTTTTGTATGCAACCGAAACTGGAAAGTCCGAGCAATATGCAAAGCAGTTATGTGAATTATTGGGACACGCATTCAATGCACAGGTGAGTGATAAGTGAGATTATAAGKTGAGAGGTACAATATATATTGTGGATGATTTTACTATACGACAGTAAAAATTACAAATAAGTTAAAATAGGTTTTTATATATTTTTATATATTATAGATGCTATTGCTTTAGAAAAATTATTCTTTAAGTAAAATAAAACTTTAACTTAACTCAGATTGCATGGAACATACTTCCCGCAAATATATGCAACGTAAAGTGCATTAAAACACCATTAAACTCAGCATGTTCAAAATAACTTTAATGAGTATGAGAATTTGACCTGAGCTAGTTTTGAGGGTCCTTCATCTTTCTTGGTTTTAACAATATATTTAGGCATAATACGTATTGGTGACAATATTGGATACACATTGTATGTATTACGAAAGTAATTCGATAGTTAACGTCATGCATTAAAATACGGTGAAGCATTGATACAATCCCATATGGTCTCTTTTGGTATTTTAGTCAAAGTATTTAAATCAGTATTTGAATTCAATTAGTGACTACGAAAAAACTAAGCAAATTTTATAATATATATTTTATACAATCCGGTATCTTTCGAAAACCGAAATGTTATGTGGCTCACATTTGGATTTATAATATCAGCCTATAAAACTGTGTTTTATTAAAGCTAAGCTCTTCTGAAAGCTATTTAGTTATGGCAGATTTATATGTTATAATATGATGTTGAGCAACACCAAAAGCTCCGTCAGGATCGGGAAGGACCTCTCCGAGCCGTTCGATACCAAACGAGATTGTAGAAAAAGCGACTCCCTATTATTCGACTTCATCAATCTGCTGCTGGTGAAAGTAATTCGAGCTGCAGAACTTATTCGAGCAGTTACAATCTTTTACAAGTGTATATAGCTGCTGGCGTACGCCGATTGTATTGATGTCATCAGCCTCAACATCCACACCGCTAGTTCTGCTTTTTTCAGACTGGACAAGGAAGCAAAGCAAATGGGTGTGGCAGTGAACGAGGGCAAGGCGAAATATCTCCTCATCATCAAACAAACAGTCGTCGCACACGCGACTTGACTCCCACGTCACTGTTGACAGTCATAACTTTGAAGTTGTAGATGATTTCGGAACTAGTCTAAATACCACCAACAATGTCAGCCTAGAAATCGAACGCAGGATAACTCTTGCCAACAGGTGTTACTTCGGACTCAGTAGGCAATTGAGAAATAAAGTCCTCTCTCGACGAACAAAAACCAAACTCTATAAGTCACTCATAGTTCCCGTCCTGCGATATAGTACAGAGGCTTGGACGATGACAACAACTGATGAGTCGACGTTACGAGTTGAGTTTTCGAGAGAAAAGTTCTGCGAAATATTTATGGTTCTTTGCGCGTTGGCCACAGCGTGTATCGCATTCGATGTACCGATGAGCTGTATGAGATATACAACGGCATTGACATAGTTCAGCGAATTAAAAGACAGCGGCTACGCTGGCTAGGTCATGTTGTCCGGATGGACGAAAACACTCCAGCTCTGAAGGTATTCGACGCAGTACTCGCCGGGGGAAGCAGAAGAAGAGGAAGACCTCCACTCCGCTGGAAGGACCAAGTGGAGAAGTACCTGTCTTCGCTTGGAATATCTAATTGGCGCCACGTAGCGTAAAGGAGGATCGACTGGCGCGCTGTTGTTAACTCGGCTGTAGTCGCGTAAACGATGTCTATGCCAATAAAGAAGAAAAAGAATATGTTTTGTAATCAACCATTGAAGTTTGTTTTCTATATTTTAATAAACGGAAATATAATAAATTCAAAAGTTTGAAATCGTTACAAGAATTCGATAACCATTCTTAATTTGACTCAATATATGTAATTACCGTATTACATGTAATTCTCGTCCTTTGTTTCAGATTTATTGCATGTCAGATTACGACATATCTTCCATAGAGCATGAAGCTTTGCTGATTGTAGTGGCATCTACTTTCGGTAATGGTGATCCGCCAGAAAACGGAGAGGTGAGTGAATGCTTACACAAAGAAAATAAAATAAATAATATGGAAATGCTATATCAAATACTATTCGTATTCGCTTAGAAAATAATTTTTTGTGTATAGGAATTTTAATTATATTAATGAATATATGTAATAATAAACATTGCTTATGCAAGAGTGCCGCATGGCGTATACGCAATCACAAACCTGTACATTGTGGCTGATGAGCCTTCAAAGAGTGCTAAGAACAGCAATTGTTTAAATGCTCAGTGAAATAATATCATACTTTCATTTATTCCATGAGTCTGTATATACACATGGCTGTGTGTTGCTTCTTTACGTGTTCGTTCTTAGAACCTACTATTTTTTTATTTGCAATTTTCTCTGATTTGGTTTGGTGCTTTGTTTTAATTTCATGATTGCAGCTGTTTTCTCAGGAATTGTACGCGATGCGTGTGCAGGAAGGCAGTGGCAATGGACACGACTCCAGGTGAGTTCCTTTTGAGAAATAATGCATAGTAAAATTAAATTGCTAGCTATAGAGAGACTTAAGTACGGAATTTTAGTTGTATTGAAATTGAAAACCATGTGTATTTAACGAATTCAACTAAGAAATGTTACTCTTCAGATAATTTTATGATTGCTGTATTATTGATTTTTTCCCTCTAAATTTTTATTATTTCCGTTGCTTTGTATTATTACTAATGTCTTGTGTGCTTTGCATATTAAATTGTAATGTTAAAGTTAGGGTACATAAATTTGGGTGAAATTTCGAATTGCTTACTTAGCTCTACTTGCTCTGCAAGCTCAATTTTGTGTTTTCRCCCTTTTAACTTTTTTCGATATTCAGTAAAAAATAAATGGTTGAACTATAAAAATGAAAGATTATGTAGCTATATTGTTTTTCAATAGTTACCATTCGACAAATTTCAATTTTGCAAGGAAGGAATTTTGCAGGAAGGCCATCAAAAATGAAAATCATAAAAATATTTATAATAAGCAGTGTAAGTATTATGCAAACTGTATAATGCTTCACCGCTAGTTTTTTTTGATATAACAATGTAAAATCGAAGCAACAAATACGAATATATGGTATCTAACAGGTGTAGAGCTTTTGTTGGAATTATACCAGCTGAAAGTTTTGATAAACTAATTCAAATTTTGTAATGTTTGTCCGCCATTTATGAAAAAACAACACAAAACAAAAAAAAAAAAACGGCAACGATTAGTTAACAGCATTTCTTTCAGTAGTTGAAAATTTATCAAAATGTTTGTACTCCAATATAACCATTATAAGTGAACGTATACGTGTAATTATGTACTATGTATTGAAAATAATGTTCATCGGTCCTTGTACTCGAATTTTTCGAATACCTGCCACTTACATACTATCTATGAGCGTTCTTTCGAAGTATTCACACATTTCTGTCTGCTTTGCTTGCATGAGAGGTATTAATTATATGTACAAACGAACACTTAAACTGCTAGGCAATTTTTGAACGGAGAAATACTGCGTGGCACCATACCACAATACGCACAAATACGACTCCGAAATGTGAAAACATCCATTTATATCACATGCTCATAGCATTAGTGTCACAAATGTTTACAATGGTCGGCTTGTGTTATTGAACTAAAAACTTATATTTGTACAGACAAGCAGTTTTTGTATACACTATTGTTCCTTTTTGCTAAAAAAATATTGTACATACTCGTATACATACATACATACATACATTATTGTTACAATATTACGGTAATGCTTTATGCTGTGTAAATAAAATTTCAAATATTATTTCAGTCATTTATCAAAAAGGGCAAATTTGAAGTTCACAATACTTGTTGCTTTGTGTATTTTTGATTGGTTTGTGACATGGAAAAGCAGCCGTTTGTAAGCTCCCACAGAAAAATTTTAATTTTTGTAAGCATTCAGGATGCAATGATATTTGCAACATGTTGTTTACAGGTATCTCGATTGACCTCTTCTTACATTCGTCCGRATGAATTTTGTCGATAATTTGATGTTTTTGATCGCAACAGCTTCTTTTCGGCTACCCTTGGGTTCTTCTGAATCTTCGGTGCTCCTGCCTGTAAGCTTAATAATTATTACTTGTCTGAAAGAATCTAAGTCTAGTGAAAACACCCATTTCTTAAAAGTAGATATGTAGCTACAAAATTTTGATATCAACGACGACGATTATTATTTTCTAAAGCAACAATTGTATCGAACTTATCAGTGTAGAGAAGCATTTTCACATAACCTCACAAAAAATAAATCAGCGGTGCTAAATCGACTGATCTGGAAGCCACGTCACAGACGCAYGACGCGAGATAATGCGCTCATTTAAAGTTTTCATAAATCAATTGATTTTTTCCTAAGCTATATGGCATGTAGCGCCCTTTTCGTTCGGATGAATTCATTCTGATCTTCTTCTATACTCTGCTCCAAAACAGCAATAGTGTCTTCGGTACGCACTTTACGKCTTCTCTGTATTGCTTCAATGAAAACTACATTCTAAAAAAACACCCGATATTTACCGTTACCTACAATCCCACACAACTTCAAATATCAAAATTCTTACAATTGACTACATAGTAACCAAGTTATAACCATATACGTTTTGTTTCCATTTGGTGATTTTTATTATGTATCGCTTTTTACCTCCTTTTAAACTTATTGTACTTTAGGTGACGATACTCCCAATACACAACATGCTTTCTTTGAAGTCTGAAGCACTTAAGTGCTCAGTATACACAAGTTAATTTAATATATCCTTATTGTTATACACTCACTTCACCACAAAACCAATTGAGGAGAAAGCTTTGAGCAATGATTTAGCAAGTATGAGTAATTGAGAAACGTGCAGAAATTGTAATATGTGAATGTTAAAGCAAAACATTTTCAAGCAGTTTACTTTGTATATTTTAAATGATAAAGTCACACTCTAATAAATATAATTCTTTTCTGTGCTAAATATGTTACATTGAACACATGTTACCAACAGTTGTTAAACATTTAAGCGCTTGTGATTACATTTAAGACTTTAAATCGAGATGTGGTTGCTTTTTGGCCTATGCTAACTTTTTAAAGAATCACGCAAGCATATATACATACATATGTTTTTGGTGAATGGGTAAAGACGTGCAAATGCAGATTACTATGCACATATACATATCTTGTTAAAGATCGCCTGAAGCCAATACAGAACAACATCTGTATGAACAACATCAATCCTCTCGATAAAGAATAATATAAAATATTACATACATAATCGTCCTTAGAAAGATTATCATGTTGAGTTCATACTGATTACTCTTGAAAACCACCGTAACAAAATAGACAAATATGTAAATAACCGCATTTTAAAACTATAAGTATATCATAATTACTTAAGCGCAATTTCTCGATAACGAATAATGGTAGTTTAAGAGGATTTCACAATTACCAAAATCATTAAAACTATCCTTACCACGTTTTTATTATTATTATTATTWTTTTTTTTTTTTTGAATACAAATTGAGTAGTTTTTCCGAACAAATATGTTTTGGTATCCCATTCTTTTACAGGTCACTGTTTTTTTTTTTTAATTTGATCTGTATCTTATTCTAGACCATGTAAACTTTTATTGCACTATTTGGGCCAACCGAAGTCAATAATCATCAATTAATTATTCTCTATTGCTAAATTTGATAACACAAAATGCGTGTAATCTTAATCTGGTTTAATAATTGAAAAAGATACTGATACTGAGTTTTTTTATCACGCAAAGAAAACTATTTCTAACTAATTATAGTTAAATGAAAGCAAGAAATATAAAAACCGCGAAATTACCGATTTTCCGCACATTTGGTTTCCTTACATTTAGGTCATGACTCATCGCTTTAACGCTCTACTGTACACTACACCTTATTTACAAGGTTGCATACTATGTGTGTTAACTCAATACTCCCTAAGTTGATGTTTTAATTTATGCGGAAGTGGCAAAATGCTCAGCGTTCGAGGGCATTATTCTGAATGGCTGTCAGGAGCTCTTACTAATCTTTTTTTTTATAATTACAACTACAAGCATAATTTGCGAATATAGTGGGCTGTACACTAAGTTCGAAGACCGTTTCCATTGAGGACAGAAGGTGGTCAGAGTGGCAGCAGTAAATTTATACGATGGTTGTATAAAAAGTATGGCGAATTTCGAACTTTCGAAGGCTGCTTGGATTCGATTTTCGATTGTTTTGGTGATGTTGGTATTCATATGTATGTCTTATTATAAGGTCGACTATTTTGAATGTTAAGTTGATTTTTGGCAGCTGTTTTGGACAGGTTTTGGTTCGCCTTAGATTTTTGTTTATTTCAAAAAATGGGTTAAAGAATCTTTATAAAATTATTTTTAAAACCAAATTTAAATGCTCAGACACATACCGAATTTTATCTTTGGCATATGATGAAGTTACCTTGGACAACAGCAACGTTTATCAATGGTATAAAATGTTTTTAAAGGGTCGAGAAGATCTGAACGACTAAGAGCGTGACAGACCCCGAACTCGTCAAGAAAAGACGAAAACAAAGACGGTATGCATCATGAGTTCTTGCCAAAAGGTCAAATGGTGAAAAAAAAGTGGAAGCAATCCACCAGAAACACAATTTTGCACCTAGATAACGTTCATACTCAATCATTTTTGCTCGTGCGCGAATATTTGGCTAAGCACAATACATTAATGGTGCCACCGTATTCCCCAGACCTTAAAGAAGTAAAAAGTTCGCCACACTTATTGAACAAATTTTGTATTCTTCCAGTGCCACACATTCGCTTAGTATTTTCCGTCTATTTTCTGCTTCATTATTTGGCCTGCATATTTCTCTGCTGTCAGGCAGTTATACACCGAATTGTACTGTATAAAGTTTGTGGCGCGGTGAGCTCTTTCTTATGTATGATACAAAATGTACAGTATACCCAAAAAGGTATATTATCGCTGTGAGAGCATGTACGAATATGCCTATGCGTATGTCCGTCCGGACCGGCATGTTAACATCGGTTGGAATAATGCTCTAAAAACCTTCGAAAGTGCGTTCTTGATAGCATATAAAGATATATGCTATATATTTGGTAATGAAGAAAATCTGGCTAAAAACATGGTTACTTCAGAAAAACACTATTTTAAATTCCATTTGAATTTTTGATAAAATATTGTATTTGTATATAAAGTTTTCCCTTTAAAGTGAGGACGTCCATAGGTCAATATGTATTACTTTACATGTAAATCAGCTCTAACATATTACATAACAATTACCTTTATTCTAATGAACTTTATGACGGTAATATTGGGTGTATATTGTAATGCCGACAATAAAAATCTCGAAATTTAGATTTCAGACAATAAAAATACCGACAATTCAAAATACGATCAAAAGAATTTTTAAAATAAGGTACTACGAGTACATTTAATAAAAAAATGGTTAATAGCCGAATGTTAAATTTCTGAATTTTAGTTGAGTAATTTAAAACAATAAAATACTATGTGTATTATATGAAAGGTGGTGTTGCACGTTCGAGGCTATTCAGTAGAATTTTTCTGTGTTTCAGTAAAAAAGGGGGCGAATTCACTATTGCTGTTCACAAAGTAAATATACGGACACGATAAAATATTTTTCACATATGGGCATTTGTTGTTATTTTGATTTGTTGGTGTTTTGATTTGTCGGTATTTTGATTTAGCTGCATATATAAATTTTTTCGGTTTTTTTTTTAAGTCGGCATYTTGAACTTCGGTATTTTAAGTGTATCCCGGTAAAATTATGTACTAATAAAAAAAATGGATATATTTTCTTAGCCACACGCCGACTTAGCGCTCARTATGAGTGAAATACGCTCACATACTTCGAATACCATATATTGCATTTTGCAGTTACGGTGGTACTTAAAATTTTCAAAGGAAGCGGGCTAAAAAGTGATCAATGGCCCTGCCAACCTTCAAGTGAAATCTGATATTTCAGGAACTTCATGACCAACTTGGTGCATAACATTTTATTGGATCCATATATCACAATTTTTCAAGTATTTTCTTTTGTAAGTTTTACCCTACTAAAACTAAGTTATTAATAGTTACATATCAAAGATCATCGAACATAACTTTTAAGCACGAAAGGCAGTATCGCCTGAATTTTATCTTATACACGTTAGTCACTGTAAATATATTTATATGATAGATATGTAAGATTTGAATTGAATCAATATATAAATCAAGCATCATCAGAATAGATCTTTATAAAAATAGTACCTTTTAGGCATGCCAGGTTTACAGCGGTTACACCCAAAATTATTATAATAATTTCAATTCCTAGGGAATACCGCATTCTTATCAAACTCCAAAACTCATTATAAAAGAAATTGAATTTAATAATGTTATTTTGTTCTATACAAGTTTATAAGAATTTATAATTTAAGAGTTGTAAATTAAGAGTTTGCTATCTGTATGAAAAATATCGGCATATGAATTTAATAAAGTGTTCGAAAATTGCAATACACTGTATCGGACGCAAGCATTTTGCACTGGATGAGTGTATTTACTGGCCTACTAACGGGATGACGGCCATGTTTTAGGATTTTCTCTAATAACACTTTAGAAGCTTTAATGAATGCTGTTGGGTAGTTCTTTTGTTATTGTTATGCTGTATTGTCTTTTTGCTTGAAACCTATTGAACACTACTTTTTTTCTCTTTATATGTAGCTCTTAAATCGCGGGAATTTTTTCCCTTATTGTGGATACTAAAATGCCATTGAATTATTGCCTCAACAGTATCATCATCTTTTTCATATTGTCAAAACTCATACACACTTATAGCAATGAAACTAATATCATAATGGATTAGTAGTATTTGAGTAAGGCAGATCAAATAAAGAAAGATCAAGTTGGATAAGTGATATAATTTTATAATACAATAACGTGTGATCCAAGTAGATGCACTTATTCCAGTATCCTTTTTTTCACTCATCATGGAAAAACTTACGCCTGAACAAGTTTACATATCCTTAAACTTTATTACAAAAATTCTCCTAGCAATTTCGTTTATTCGAATTCTTTCTTCAGACGGCTCCTAGACAGGCGCTTGCTTTTTATACTCTTGCAACCAGTTGTTACAGAGTATTATAGTTTTGTTCACCTAAAATTAATTGAGATATATAGATATGGGGTTATGTATAAATGATCAGGGTGACGAGAAAAGTTGAAATCCGGTTGACTGTCTGTATGTCCGTCCGTCCGTCCGTCTGTACGTGATGAATCCAAATCGTATAAGAACTTCTGCCGACATTGTGAAAATGGATGAAATCGAGGGATAACCCCGCTCACTCCTTGTATAGCGGTATTGTTAAAAAATACTAAAAGCGCGAAAAAGCAATAACTAAACGCGGCAGATACATTAAATTTTTCCACCGAGATGGCATGATTGAGCTTTATAAAATCGGAAATTGGACAATGGGCGTGGCACCGCCTATTATTTAATGAAATCCCATATCCCGGGACCCGTCCAACCAATTTCGACAAAATTTATTATTGAGCTTAAATTAAAATAATTAATTAGCTTAAATTAAAAATTAAAAATTAAATAAAATTCGGATAGTGGTATTTTCCACCTTTATTTTAAAATTCCTTGTGTCCATTTTTTTAATTGTCGGCATMTTGATTTGTCGGTATTTTGATTGCCTTATATCCGTATGCCTCAGAATTATCTAGAACTCTTTGGAAATATCTAGGAAATTCGTAGTTCATAGGACTGGACGGGGTATCAAACTTAGATTTCGAGTCACTCTTAAAGTTCGCAAAAACCGTTGACATCATATATGACTTGATCTCAAATCACTGGTTCTGCTAAGGACCAGTGGATTTATGTGTAGAGTGACAGTCAACCAGTATAACGCAACCTATATAAGAACTTGAGAATTAACACAACGTGTATGAAATATAATATGTTCCTTCCCTCAGGACCCAAACTACATATGTATTTCCTCCCCTTAGTTGCCTTTGTACCGCTTATATTGGTATGGGCGCAAGATATTTCAATAAAATTTGGTGAACATTTTTATTTTATTTCGGGAGTCGGTCCATACCTTCCTTTACCACAAAAATGGCTATTCTAAAATTAGTATTAACACTAATTATACTATTAACCAAAAATATTAGAAAGGACATAAAAATTTAAAAACTACATATAACTTCCAGAATTCGAAGAACCGGGTAATCAAAGAGCAAGAGAAGTATAAAGTAAACTGTTTTCAAGAAAGTAATCCATGTTGTAAGGTATTATTAATTTTTATTATATTTATAATTTCTTAATTTAATTTAAAATTGAGTATACTAGAACATTATTTGTGCTGCAGTTACTGTCCTTAAATATTTGTATTTTTTACTGTTGGCCCTATCAAATTYTTTTTAAAGAAACACTCATTGAAGTGCATAAAAAATTCAACAGTGGGCGTACAATTTTTAATTTTCGTTTGTAAATTTAGCCTTTTTAAATTCCCATATGCACTTGCAAAATAATTTTTCCCTTCAATGCATATTTTCAGCATTGGAGTCAGCTCATCAAAATCCTTCATGAAAGCCAGCTCAAGGCAAGATTTAATCAAGTTGCCTTTACAGCAAGTGAAGAAAATAGATCGCTGGGATTCCCTGCGAGGGTCAACATCAGACACTTTTACAGAGGAAACTTTCGGGCCCTTATCAAATGTGAGGTATGTATGTCATAACCCTTTATACACGGATGTACCTATGTTTACAAAATTATAAAATTAACTACACTGTATTAACGCTGTGAGTGCTTAAATGCAATAACACTTAAAACATTTCTAACAAATTTTTCTTAATTTCTACAGAAGCGGCCTACTGTGCTATGTCAATGTCTAGACAAAATATGCAATTGGAAACTCAATAATTTTTTAAAAGGAACTATTAAAAATCTCTTTTTAATTTTTTGTATAATACATAACTTAGTTATTCCTCAATTTATCCTAAGGAAAAATTCATTTTGTTTTCTGTTTTTGTCGGGTTTCCCAATTGGGATTATACTCGTACGGTTTCTAAGAGTAAGAAAATAATCGTTCTCCAACGGCAAATTTTTATGCACTTTTGCCATTTTATGATCGCAATAATCGTGCACTTGTATTCGCTATTCGTTGAATAGTTGAAAATGCCGAGAAATATTCTTTGCATGATGTGCTAATTAGACAAAGAACCGCTCAAAGTAATGAAAATATTGCTGCCTTTCAGGCATGTGTTGCTGAAGACCACAATTTATCGTTTCAAGAATTAGAACTGCCTCAAACCATAACCTGGAGGATTTTAAGAAGGGATTTGGGCTTATAAAATCGTTCTATCTCAAGAACTAAAGCGATTTACCACGTAAACCTCGTGAATTTGCCGATTTTGCCTGGGAAAAACAAATAAAACAAACTGCCGATTCCACAAACTATTCATGAACAACCATTACAACATTCACCTAAATTGACAGTCTGATATGGCTTTTGGTTTGGTGGAATAATCGGTCTGCTCTTCTTTCGAAAAGAAGGTGGTAACACCGTTAATGTCACTATATTAGAATCTATTCAAGCTTTAGAAGTCAATATTGAACGTGCTATTCATGACATATGACTTGATTTAGTGGAAAAAGTACTCGAAGGTTCGATTAAATGATRTCAGATCTTAAATGTATCGATTGTATTTCGCAATAAATACAAAAACTGGTGTATAACGTAATGCCGACAATCAAAATCTCTACATTTTAATCAAGAAAAGGTGGCAATGTTTGCTTGAGGCCCTGCGGCCTTTGGCAAACACAAATACGCTCAGGATCATAACCCTTAGTCAGTAGAATTCTCTTTCTGTGCTTCGATAGAAATATTTTTCAATTGTCGGTGTTTTGATTTGTCGGTATTTTGATTTGTAGGTATTTTGATTTAGGCGCATATTTAATTTTGTCGGTATTTTGATGTGTCGGCATTTTGAGCTTCGGTATTCGACTAGGGTTATTTTTTTGAAATGCGGCTGAATGCCGCCAACGCAAAAGGAGATCAACGCGACAGAACTAAACACGCCCAGTTCTTGGTCCGGCCAGGGTTATTTTTTTGATATGCGGCCGAAGGTCGTCAACGCAAAAAGAAGTTCAACGCGAGAGAACTAAGCACGCCCAATTGTTGTTCCTTCTAGGGTTATTTCTTTGAAACGCGGCCAAAGGCCGCTAACGCAAAAAGGCATTCAATGCGAAAGAACTGATCACGTCCAGGGTAATTTTTTTGAAACGCAAAGAGGAGTTCAACTCGAAAGAACTAAGCACACCCACTAATTATTAGATAGAATGCAACCTTTTTGTTATTGTGTGAACAAACATAATCCAACAAAAGTTAAATATTGAATAAAAATTATGTTTGTACTATTTAATATAAAATAAAAAAGAATTAGTGGAGTATTAGTGTATATAGAAGTTAAAAATATAAGCGTAAAATTAATTATAAATCGGAGAAACACGCGTTTAATTAAGTTGAGTTTTTGAACTTTAAGTGCAAATATCTCAAAAACCATAAGTCAGCGGTAACTATGTATGTATTTTTTTGGATCTGTAAGATCTTCTCTACCCGTACATACCCATTTTAACCCCGAAATCGTGGGATGCTATTCTAAAATTTACCCGTAACTATTTTCATAAAAGGTAAAAGGTACTAAACAGAAACAATAACTTTAGTGATTTAATTCATTTATTTATAAGTTATTCAGCTAATATTTACAAAAAATTATTTGTTAAATTAAAGTARGGTGCTTAGCTATATTGACTAAATATTCTTCAGGAACATTGTTTTCCCTCTCTATTAATACTGCCTTAGTGCAACTCTCTCTTTTTTCCAGGCGTCGCCGTTTGGTTTGTTTTTCGCCAGTGAGCACCTTTTCAATTTTGGTTTCTACAAAAACTTGCTCTTTAATCAAATTTTATGTTAGATTGAATATATTTTCATGGTATTGCCCAACTAAACACGAAAGACGCCGATGCCATGACTCAACATTATTTTGCGTTCTCGGAAGGTTATATATCACGTTTTCAAATACTGACCAATAACTTGGAGCATATACTGGGGCTTTAAGCATTTTATTTTTGAAGGGTTTCCCAAATATATAAGATTCTTCAAAAAATKTAGCAATTTTCATAAAATCCTTATTATCACTTTTCAATGCTTCATAATAAGATGGTATTTCATCAGCAGGTACGAAAGCAAGAGCCTTTAATCCCTAATTTTAATAGAGAATTCATTTCTTCCATATTTCGTTTGAAGCCCTTCTTTTTGTATACGCCTCCAAATAATTTGGGCGAAATGGAAAAAGCAGCTTTTGTATAATATTTAACGTCTGGGAAAAAGTTTTTAAAGGATTTGACGCTGGCTTTTTCAAAATCGGTTAAAATTATTTTCGGATTTAAGGAAATGTTATTATTACATGCAAAATTCATCAATTCATACAAAAATTCGTCATAGGATTTTTCGCTTTTCTCTGTCATGATATACAATAAACAAGCGGTACAATTTCACTRCATGTGTTTGTACCTATGCGGCCATGAATTGTAAACAATTGCCTCATGAAGGATGGAACAATTTTGAATTTACCGTCCATTATCCAAATGCTACTTTTTGCAAGTAAGCGGACGTTCTCTACAGTTGCTAACAAAACTATACATTGATTTCTGAACTTTTTTAATCCAACTAGAAATTGCTTCCCTTCGACTTTCTGCAAATGACACGGAATTTCCAAATCTTTTACACATTTTGGTTGTTTTAACTGTAGCTTCTGTCTTGCCCTATTGATTTTTTGATTTTGGGCGGACGGTGTGGGTAAATATTTCCGCGAACTTTTGTTACATCGAGCCGTAGCTCTTGCAATAATTTGGCACGGTTTTTCTAAAAAGTTAGTTGCATCATCCTTTAGTGACGTATTTGTCTTTATGACATCGGCCTGGTATTCCATTGGATCATGGCTATGCTCTGTTGCACTTTTTATTAGTTCGTGTATCCCATTATCTATTAAAATTGTTGTCACCCGTCCTTTGCATAAAAATTATATTTTTTTATCGCAAATCCAATATACGCGGTTATCATGTTTTTTTTATCAGTATTATACAGATAACCATTAAGTGAAAGTTTGGTACCTCCTTTGTTTGAAATAAGAGTCTACATGAAAATTATATTGCATATGTGCGCTTATTCAATTTCAAAATCAACTTCCAATTTTCAAATATATTTTCTCAAATGACCGCTATGTTGTCAAAATTATAAAGGCTTTTTTCAAAGGCATCCCGATAAAATTTATTTTAAACTCGGTAAAAATGTGAAATTTCTACTTCAAATTACTTTTAAATATTTAAAGTATGCTAGAATTTTGAATTGTAAAAACTTTTGTATACATATTATGTGCTGAACACATAGAGAGCGACATACTTCAAGCATCGTCGTTCAAATATTAAAATAAACAGCTGTCTAAATAACTGTGTCCTTAAAAACGTGAGTATTTTAATATTTGATAGAGGTCATTTGAAGTCTGTCACCTTCTATATGTTCAGCATATGTCTGCAGGATTGCCTTTGTTGGCCACTTTTTATACTCTCGCAACAAAGTTGCTAAAGAGAGTATTATAGTTTTTTCACATAACGGTTATTTGTCAGTCCTAAAACTAAAACAGTCAGATATAGGGTTATATATACCAAAGTGATCAGGGTGACGAGTAGAGCCCACATAATGGCGGAAACTGAAAACTTATAAAGTGTCATAACTAAGCCATAAATAAAGATATTGAAATGAAATTTGGCAAAAAATATCGCATTAGGGAAGGGCATATTTGGACGAAATTTTTTTGGAAGTGGGCGTGGCCCCGCCCCCTACTAACTTTTTTGTACATATCTCGAAAACTACTATAKCTATGTCAACCAAACTGTATAGAGTCGTTTCTTTTAGGCATTTCCATATACGGTTCAAAAATGGAAGAAATCGGATAATAACCACGCCCACCTCCCATACAAAGGTTATGTTGAAAATCACCAAAAGTGCGTAAACCGACTAACAAAAAACGTCAGAAACACTAAATTTTACGGAAGAAATGTCAGAAGGAAGCTGCATCCAGGCTTTTTTTTTAATTTTAAAATGGGCGTGGCGTCGCCTACTTATGGACCAAAAACCATATSTCAGGAAGTACTCAACCGATTTCAATGAAATTCGGTATATAATATTTTCTTAACACCCTGATGACATGTACCAAATATGGGTGAAATCGGTTTACAACCACGCCTGAAATCTCGATTATCACTTTATCATACGAGAGTATAAAATGTTCGGTGACACCCGAACTTAGCCCTTCCTTACTTGTTTAAAATGTTAAAGTCAAAATTTTATAATTACGTATATTTTAATGGAATAATATTAGTAAACTGCAAAAAGAAGTAAGCTTCCTTTTCCTTCATAGCACAGAGAGAGAATTCTATGGATTAAGGGTTATGATCCTGAGCGTGTTCGTGGCGAAGGCCGCAGGGTCTCGAACGTACAACAGCTTCTTTCATAAAACAAAGTTTTTTTTAATTACTCAATTGTTATCCAAAATGTCTTTATCGATTACTAATGTTYCTTCTTTGGGATCTAGGAACCATTGTAACCATTTATTTTATAAAAATTTCTTCTGTCCGTGTTTCGAATTTTCGGCTTTTTGA